AACACGAGTTCTCCAGGGAGATGAATTTACCCTTTTTTTCCTTAGCATCTTAATTCAGTTGCTCTCAACATAAAGCAGAAGTGACAAAACCACCCCGAGCACACAGTGCACTCGCATCCTGAGCACTCCCACTGCTCATCTGATCAATGAAGCTGCACAATTAAACACTGCAGGAAAAAATTGCCTGTGCAAAAGACAGCTTTTAAAAACCCAGCATCCTGTTGATTGTTACTCTGACACAGCACGGTTCAGAACAACCCGCACCCCACGTAAGGAGCGGCAGGACAGTTCAACTGTCAGCTCAGACAACTCTTGCTGGCAAACACCGATACTGGTCATTATCACCCCAAAGACATTCCTACTGCTGTCCCAGGACCTTCCAAGGCACTGCTTCACCTCAGTTATGGAAACAGATCAGAAACTTGAAACATATCATTTCCACTGCACCACTTAACAGCGTTTCTGGTGAACCTTGTTCAGCTGCAAACTGAGCTATGCACATGTCAAAAGAGCATGTTCTCAGTATCATCAGGGCTAAGAGAACAAACAATAGCTTCAAACCTTGCTGCTGGTCTCCTCCTCATTGGGGTCTCTCAGCTGCCTCAAAGAGCACATACATAATACAGACAGTAAGTAATAAAAAGATAAAGTCTCCAGTAGTTAAAACGAGTCCCGTTAAACCAGCACCCTCAAACCTTCAAATAAATGTAGATCCAAGCTCAAGACAGTGGCTAATATTTAGAAAACAAAATATTAAGTTCCACGAATGCCAGGACAGTTCAATAGTGCCTTCTCAAATACCACTCAAAGCAGAGTGAAGCAGCTGCTGGAGAGAACCATTTCCATCTCTCACCTTTGAGACTGCCCAGAATCTTCTCAATACTCAAGTAGTGGAAAGTACAATTCCATGCTCCAGAAGCAGAAGGAATAGCCTGGAGTGGACAAAGGTTGTAAACTGGACTTACGAAACTGTTGCCTCTGCAGATACACTCTGATGTTGAAACACAGCACGAGATGCAAATCCACGGGACTAACTGGCACTGCTCTTACTTCCCAACCCACTGCCAAATTCCAGAGAATTATGTTTCCAAGGGTAAAGAACACCTGACTTCAAACTGGAAAAAAAGCCTTAACCAAGAGTTTCTCGTTGTATTTTACAGCAAATGCCTCTATGAGGGTTTTGATCGATACACTGAGCAGAAAAGATGCTGGAGTTTCATGTTTCCTCTTTCCCCTAAATCAGTCATACCCAGCCCTGAGCATTCTGTTTTTGCCAGCTGAAGTCAGAGATAGTATCTTGAGTGCCAACTCTTTCCTTTGCAAATAACACTCCATTACTTCACATTAGCATATTATAACATCAGACATCAGCCCAAGTGTAATGGGTACAGATCAATAATCAGATCCTACAAAAGCTGCTCCGCTGTTTCTTCCATCTCCCAAATGAACTGTATCTCCACAGCTTTCTTAAACTGCTCACATCAAACTTCTCTCTACCGATGTCAAGACAGCAAAGTCTTGACAGATGAAAAATTTAGATGCTTTTATTCCTTTACATTATTATCCAATGCTCCAGCAGCAAATGGGAGACTGAAAGCCTGCAAGAGGCTTTGTTGCTTTCATTTCACGTTTATCCCAGTTCTCTCTCCCTACTGTTTTTTTTTTTTTTCACTAACCTGCCCCAGCAGGGTGCAGACAACTGCCCTATTCCAGCCCTGCCCACAAGAAGGAAGCTGCTGGTTTCAGCATTCTGCCAGCCAAGCCGTTTGCAGAGCACTACAGAACCCATCACGCACATCAACGGAATTAATGCAGAGCAGGCACTAACACAGGACTGTGCCCAAAGGCTCAGGCCACAACAGGACAGCTGGGACTCACCTCTGCCTGAGAAGGAGCCATTTCCAGCAGAAGTAGGGTAAACACTTCAGGGCAACAGCATCTTCACCCCCACAGCTGTTTGCTGGGTGAATGGCAGCTCTTGCTCCATGCTTCCCTCTGACTCTCCATTTAACTGAGGGCCTTCTGCTATTCCTTACCTCATCTCTGTTATCCTCCCTTTCCCAGTCTGCTCTCCTGCTTTAGTCACACTGCAGTGGCACATAACCTTCTATGGAAGTACAATGCTCTGCCACCATGGAATATTGTATAAATTACTTATGATGGTACATCACAACAAAGTGTAAAGTTATCTTTGAAAACAGTGAAGTGTTCCCTGAAAAGACAGCAGGGATCCCTGAAGGGTTTCCCAGCTGACTGCAGCAATGTACAAATTATTTTAGTGAGATTTTTCCATCCTCTCCTAACACTAAATGCTCTTTAACAGACTCCAAGAAAAAAAACCTCTTCCAGGTGGACTGATTTAATTCTGAAGGAACAAGCAGGACCACACACCTGAATCCCTTTCAGCCAGGTGTAAAGTATCAGAGAATAAGGAATCACCAGCAGTCTGTGAATAGCAGAGCCCTGGTGAAAGCTGATCCCACATACCCCCAGGGACAGAAGAACAAGGATCCTGGTATCCAAGCCTTCTGGACCACAGCTTTCACATCACGCTCAGGACAGCAGCTGCCTCCTAACTGAAAAATGTCTCCCCTTTACAGCCTGAGGAGCATTTCCCTCTACCTCAAACCAGGACTGGACAGGCAGCTGGACTAAAGCATGAATCCTTCCTTCTGCCTCCTTCTCCTCCCCCCCAGTCCATGGCAACACCAGGTAGCATTGGGAAACAGGATTCTTCAGTTTCACAGCTGCCCACAGGGGTTTGAAAATAGCAACAAGGGCACTGGTGAGAGCAGCTGGTCCTATCTGTCCAGACTCAGCGCATTCATAAGTACTGGGATAGCTCACAGCAAGAGAATGGAAGCTGGGAATGGGACCTTTTGCGTATCTGTAAGTGCTGCACAAACCTCACCTCCCCACCAGGCAGCACTGGGACAGCAATGGTTAACACTGCTCCGCTCCCTTGGCCTGTATTTAATTTGACTGCCCAATCTGCAGCAAAGATTTGGAGGCGATATGTGTAAAACAAGTTCCCTCACAGGTCCAGTCATGGGAAAACACCTCAGTGTATTAATTCACTAATTAACTCAGGGGGTTGTGAATTCCCCTGACTCAGAGGCAAAGGCCTGGCGTGTCCCTGTCTGGAATGATGAAGAGCTGCACCATCTCACCTGGGGAAGGCAGGGCCGGATGCCTCTGGAGGCCCTTTAAGCCCTATAAATCCACAGTTACATCACACCAAAAATCCAAAGCAAGGCCTTAAAAAAAATAACAAATACAAAGCAACAAAATGAAATAAAACACTCCTAAAAGTAAACCCTGTCTCTGTAAGAGAATCCTGCAATCCAAGAGACACCATGTGATGTCCTACAGCTCAGAAACAAACATAGGACACCTGAAGGTAATTTTCATTGCTCAGCACGTTTAATTACTCCTCACTGAGCAAACCCAAGTATTTCAGCTGCCCAGAGCTGTTTTCTCCCCAATAAACCACATCTGCAGATTGGTTTTATGATCACCCAGCTGCTGCACGGCCCCGAGGCCTCGGCACACCAGAGGTTAAGCGACTCAGCCCGTGTTGTGCAGCAGATACAGACCAGATCATTACAGTCTCCAGTGGCGTTAACCAAACCGTGAGGGGCAGGAACGACGTTCTCAGTAACCACATTCACAGAAACGCGCTGGACAACCCTCCCGAGGTGACAGAAAACGCTCTCCCGCTCCGACAAGGGAATTTTTCATACTAATTAAACCGGTCGGGACTTACCGAGGAGTTCTTCCCGTGGGGGGTTTATTCAGCAGCCACTTCCCGCCTGCCCGGGTGGCGATGACAGAACTCTCCCGATGAAGCACTCGGGGCACGGGAGTCTCACTCGCTCCCGCCAGCACCGGGACCACAGGTGTCTCTCCTCTCTACCTCCCCTCGGGCCCGGTCCGACACCCCCGCACCGACGGGGCGGCTCCAGGACGGGCCTACCCGGCTCTGCGCGCCCCATACCCCCCAGCGCCGGCGGGGCGCGCCCAGCCCAGCCCGTTCCGTGCCCATGCACCGCCTCCTGCGCTCCCGCCGGCCGGCGCGGGCCCCCCCGGACGCGGCACCTGGAACTGCAGCAGCTTCTCGGTCTGTTCCGCCGTCAGCTCCCGCTCCTCAGGCGCCGCCATTTTGCCGCCGCCTCTGACCCGCCGCTCCGTCACTCTCCGGAAGTGACGCCGCCCGCCCGCACTTCCGCCCCGGCGCGGCGCCGCGCGGCCAATGGCTGTTTATCGGCCGGAGCCGCTCGGCCACGTTCCGGAGACACCCGAACGCCTCTAGGGCTCGTCCGGAAACTCCCGAATCCCATCGGCGGGGTTGGCCGCGCTCGGGTGTTCCCGGCGGGCGCCCGAAGAGTTCCGAAGTGTGCCGAGCGGTGCTCGGGTGTTCCCGGCGGGCGCCCGAAGAGTTCCGAAGTGTGCCGAGCGCTGCTCGGGTGTTCCCGGCGGGCGCACGAAGAGTTCCGAAGTGTGCCGAGCGCTGCTCGGGTGTTCCCGGCGGGCGCACGAAGAGTTCCGAAGTGTGCCGAGCGCTGCTCGGGTGTTCCCGGAGCTGGCTGAGGATGGGGAGGGTCTGCCAGTGGCTGTGGGAGAGGGCTCTGAGCCCGAGAGGGTGGGGGGTATGAGCCGGAGACCTTCGGGAGCTGGTTCTGTTCCCGTCACCGCGGGGGCTGCCGGACACCAGGTGGGCTCTGCCCGGTACCTCTGGTCCCGGCGGGAGGGTCCTGCCCAGCACTCCCCGTGCCCTGCGCCCAAGATGGCGGCGGCTGCCAAGATGGAGGGGCCCTTGAGGGGCCCCCACTCCCACCCGCAGCCACAAGCTCCCGTGTGCGGAGCCGGCACGGCAGAACCGCGGCCCGCCGAGCCCCGGGCGGAGCAGCCGGGCAGCCCGGGCCCGCCGTGCCTGCTGCAGGTGACGGGGAGGCGGGACGCGACCGCGGGGCCGCCCCGGCGCTGATGTCAGCGCGGCCGCCCCGCCCGCCGCTGCAGTGACAGCGGCGGCTCCGCCCGGGCACAGTCGGGCCCAGCCCAGACGAGCCGCGCAGCCGGAGCGGGAGCGGCGCGGGCGGGCCGGACATGGCCGACGACTTCGGCTTCTTTTCCTCGTCCGAGGGCGCCGGCGCTGAGGAGGACCCGGCCGCCGCCTTCCTGGCCCAGCAGGAGAGCGAGATCGCGGGTATCGAGAACGACGAGGGCTTCGGGCCGACCGACGGCGAGGCGGCCGCCGCCCCGGGCGGGCAGACGGCCCCACCGGAACAGGGTGAGCGCCGGGCGGGCACGGCCGCGAGGACCGCCCGGCTGCGGCCCCGGCGGTCACGGGGGACTGCCACCCCCGTGGGTAACGGGAGGCTGTGCCCCCTCCTGCCCCGAGGGTGGGGAAGGGTCCTCCGGGCCGCGCGCCCGCGGGGCTGAAGTTCCCCGCGGGACGCACAGCACCCCCCACGGTGGGTGATGGGGTCCGTGCTGCACCTCACGGGTAGGGGATGGGGTGTCCGGGTGGGCCCGGCTGGCAGCCGGCAGCAGTAAGGGCTGTCTGCGCCTGTGCTTGGGCCCAAAGGGCTTCAGAACATCGGGATATGGCGTGAATCCTGAGCTGAGATGTGCTGGCCGTGGGGCGATTTTTCTCCCATGTGCCCAAGCTGGGTTCCCCGGGCTGGATGGACTCCCATGTCCACGTCTCAATGCCCCCAGCTATGGCAATGTAGGAGGCATCCAGGCGGAACTGAGGAGCAGTGACAGCCTTGTCACTGTCCCCGCAGACGGGGAGCCCTTTGGAGTGTAAAATGAAAGAAATTCCCATTGGGAACATCGTGGTCGCAGGCCCTGCAGATAGAATGTGCTAATCCTGATCTCTTGCCTCCAGTGTGCAGGGGTCAGTGGTCTGCTCTCGGCACGGGCATAGGGATGCTCTGACTTCTTCCCCTATTTCAGCCCCACAAGGTCTCCTCGTGCTGGCTGTGGAGCAGTGGTTTTACTGCTGTGCACACAGGGCCGTGGAGGCAGATCTGGGCCTGGAGAGATGTTGACAGCCACAGTGATAAATGCAGTCAGACAGGCTGGAGCTGGGTGTAGTCGTGGGGGTGAGCACCATGGGGCAGAGCTGCACTGTGGCTGTGCCTGCAGCTGTCTGGCCAGGAGAAGGCCTGTGCTGGTCACTGGGGAGAGCTTAGGGCCTGGAGTGTGACTCCTTCAAAGCCTCTTCTCCCAGCAGCAAAGCCCACTGCCTGGGGCTGGCATTCCGATGCTAGTGTGCGGCTCTCTGGGGCTGTCAGTGGTGCCTCATTCCCAGCCCTGACCTTGCAGGTCATCCCAGATGGCCTCTCAAGGACCTTGGCCTGCATCCATGCCCTCCTCTCCTGGGGGAGCACATGGAGTATTTCCATGGGCCCTGTCCCTGGAGAGTTGTCTCAGCACTCAGCCAGCAGCTTCTGTGTCCATCAGCAGCCTCTGCAGGTGGGAATTGGTCACGTGTTTCTTCAGTCAAAGCAGCAGCCTGTGTCCGTGCCTGGAAGTTTCCCTAATCTTCAGATAAGATAAAACACCAGTGAAAACACCATAAAGACATAAATGCCTGGAGAGGCTTGTGTGGGAGAGCGGGAGGTGCTTGCTGGATCCCACCAAGGACAGGGCACTGTTGGAGTGTTGTGGATGGGTGTGCTGGGCTGGAAATGGCACAGACAAATTCCCAGGAACTGATTTGCTTCAGTTTTCCTGAACACCAGCCCTACCGAGATCACCTGCACCTGCCATAGTTGTGTTCTTCTTTCTCTCTTCCTTTTTCTCCAGCTGGTTTCCAGAATGGAGGAGCCACTGTCAACGGAGATGTGTTTCAGGTGAGAGCTCAGCCCTTCCCCGGCCCAGGGCTGCTAAGGGAAATTGGGTGGGTGTGGGGCCAGCACTCTGCTGCTCTGCCCCCAGTTTTGACTGGAATTTGCTATCCAGCTGCAGAACAGCTACGGTGTTCCTGGAAGGGTCTGGGTCTCCTGGGGGAGTCCTGGCTGCTCCATTCTCTTTGAAGAGAAGATGTGTCCCACCTGCCATGACCTGCCCCACATCTGTTTGCAGGTGGCCTGTGCCATGAAGGAGTGCCTGGGCCCTAAGAGCAGGTGACAAATCCTCCATTCTCCACGGAAGGCCCCTCTCTTCAGCCTGGGTAGCTTCTGGAGATGTCTGGGGCAGGCAGGAGCATCTCTTGGCAGAGGCCAGAGCCAGGGCAGGGCTGCCATGGAAGACATGCTTTGCTGTCTTGGCAGTATCTCCCATGAAAACCACTTGCCCCATAGCCAGAGGTGTTGGGGGGAGCCCACCTGTGTCTCAGCTCCCTCTGGGAGCCCGAAGCCCAGCTCTGCTGGCTACAGGAGATTTTGCCAGCATCTGACAAGTCCTTCACCTCACTTGGTGCCCAGCAGTGGGGCATCTGCACAGCCCGTGCCTGGCTTACAGGTTGATAATCACATCAGTAATGGGACAGACTTAATTAGATTGAGGATCTTGGAGGAAGACGTAATCCCATTGCTGAGCTCGGTGTCAGCATGACTGGGCATCCTGGCCAGGAAGGTGTTATGGGAGGTGCTGAGCCAGCGCCTCCAAGGCCTGGTGGGGCCGTGCAGGCAGCTTGGCACAGGAGCGAGGGAAGCAGCTCAGTCCTGGGGCTGCCTTGGCCCTGCTGAGAGACAGGGAATCCCTGGGAGTGTATCCCAAGGCCAGTGGCTGTCCTGTGCCGTGGGGCTGCCCAGAGGATGCAACAGCTGTGATGGCAGTGAGCGGCAAGGCAAGGCAGGGAACGCTGGGAAGTATTTTTGGGTGACACGGCTTGAGGCTGGGAGCTGGAACAGCAGCCTGAGCAGTGCTTTGGGGACCCTATCCCAGATGTCCCAGGCCATCACCCTTCCTACCTCCGATCTTGGCTTGTCAGTGCTGGGAGTGTGGAGTCCTCATCCCTGCCAGCTGTTGGAGGTGGCTGGGCTGGGCTGTGGGAAGAGCTGGTGCTGATGGCAAGGTGCTCATGTCCTGCAGGAGTCCAACGGCCCCACGGATGCCTACGCAGCCATAGCCAAGGCTGACCGGCTGACCCAGGAACCCGAGAGCATCCGCAAGTGGAGGGAGGAGCAGAAGAAGCGCCTGGAGGAGCTGGGTGAGGACCCAAGGCCGTGTGTGGCCGTGCTTGTGGCGCCTCATGATGTGGCAGTTGGGGCCCTTGAGTTCCTCACCTGCTGCATCCCAGAGAGGTGTCTTGTGCCCCTGCCAAAGATCTGCTGTCCTTGGAGCAGTGGGGCCTTTTGGCCAGTACAGTGGGGACAGGTCTGGGTGGCTGCAGCTGCCCTGCCTGCTGAGGGGCTGCCCAGCACACCCAGTGGGTGCCAGCCTGGCTGATGGGCTCTGTCTCACTCTGGCCTTAGATGCAGCATCGAAGGTGACTGAGCAGGAATGGCGTGAGAAGGCCAAGAAGGACCTGGAGGAGTGGAACCTCCGTCAAAATGAGCAGATGGAGAAGAACCGGGCAAACAACAGGTATGTCGGGGCCAGCATGGCCATTAGACTGTGATGGGAGCTGCTGTTCAGCCAGGTCTGCCTTCCTGGGTAGTCTGGGGGCCTTTTTCCTGACAGTGGGGCGCAGCCCTGCAGGGATGGAGCTTTGCCAAGTAAGGGGAGAGGCCCCAGGGCTTGGAGTGGCTCCAGTGGCTATGCAGAGCCACCCTGGCTGGGACCACACTGGGATCACCCTGGGATCTCAGTGCCTCCTGCCCATGCATGGGGTCTCGCAGGGGGGCAGGGTTGGGCTCCAGGTTCTCCTGGTGCTGCGATGTGTGGGTCACACTCTTTGGGAGGACTAACCCACTCTGTTCTCTCTTTCTAACCCTCTGCCTGCCTGTCGCTCCGCTCCGCTCTCTCTCTCTCTGTGCCTGGGGTAGGATCGCTGACAAAGCCTTTTACCAGCAGCCGGACGCCGATGTCATTGGCTACGTGTATGTGCCTCTTACACACCGTATCCTGTCCCACAAGCTCTGGGGGTCCCTGCCCCAGCACTGGCTGACCAGCCAAGGGGAGGGGGGTGCTGGGAGGTCCTGGGCTCTGATGAGGTCCCAGAGGGAGAACGATGCAGCTGAGCGTCTCAATGGTAGAGTCTTAGGAGGCAAGTGGAGCTCCTGGAAATGCCCCTGTGGGAGCTGGTTGAAGAGGCAAAGCTGTGGGCTCTTAAGCCTTTTTGGGGGTGTTGGGGGATGGAGAAGTCTTGGGAGCACATGGATATCCCAGCACCCCTGGATGAATGATGTCTTGGGTGAGTGCAGCCAACAGCAACCTTGAACATCGCGTGTCTCTGGCTCCTAGAGGACACTGAGCTCATTGTCTGGAGCAGGGGATAGGAAGCAGGGACACAAGGAGAGAACCTCCTTGAAAAGGGTTCTACCAGTGACAACCCTCAACGTCTCTGCAGGGCATCGGAGGAAGCATTCCTGAAGGAGTCCAAGGAGGAGACCCCGGGCTCTGAGTGGGAGAAGGTGGCCCAGCTGTGTGATTTCAACCCCAAGAGCAGCAAGCAGAGCAAGGATGTCTCGCGGATGCGCTCGGTGCTCATCTCCCTGAAACAGACGCCCCTGTCCCGCTAGCTGTGCCTGGCACAGCCGGGAGCACTGCGGGCACAGCCGGGATCACCGAGTCGGGTGGCTCCAGGGGCCAGCCCAGGACAGGCCTCCCACTGCCTGCTCCCTGGTCTGCACCTCGGCTGTGCTCGAGTCACTGGTTGTAACTCTCCCCATGGTTTTCCTTTGCTTAAAAGGTGCATCGGTCTCTTTTTACACTTATTTATAAATCACTGTGGCATTTCCCTGGGAAGCGGCACTGGGTGGCAGAGCTGAGTTAAGGAGGAAGCCCCGGCCCAGGGTCTGCAGGAGCCTGGCTGAGTGAGCAGGGAATATCCCACCCTGTGTTCCCACCTCACCCCTGTGCTGGGAATAAAACTGCCTGTGGCTGTCCTGGCAGCCCTGTGTTCAGGCCTCGGTCCTATCCCTGAGGCAGGGATCCCAGTGGGGTCCAGCCTGGTTGTGCACCCCAAAAAGCTGATGGGGTTCCAGCGTCAGTGTCCCATCCGTCCTGCAGTCCTGGCAGTACAGTGCTGCAGGGCACTGGAGAAGGGCCAGGGGGTGAGTGTGCAGGAAGTTTTCTGTCCCTCTCTCATGACCACCAGCAGTTGGGAATGTGGGATGCCAGGCTTTGAGAGCCCTTGGCTTTGCTCTGCTCCTTCCTCTGCTACTAGAAGGGGAGATGGAGGCTGTGTGGTTGCAGGGAAGGAGGTAGGAAGGTCCAGCTGCTGTGGGGCAGGTCAAGCTCTCCCAGCTTCCTAAACCAGGATGGAGGGTTGGGCAGAGTTCTGGTGCTGGGGCTTGTCCTGTCCCTGAGAACAACCTGCACATCTGTCTGCAGCTGCTCTGCCCCCTGGCTTTGCCCTTCTAAGGCATCGTGGGGAGATGCCTCAGTCCCACTCCCCGCCTGAACGCTGGCTTTCTCTCCTCTGCTTGGCAGGGCTGGCACCAGCCCTGGGAACCTGCACAACTCCTGAGTAGCAGGAGAGGGACAGCCTTGAGCTTGTGCCCTGCATCTGGGAGCTTGGAAAGGGCTTGCAGCAGCTGGGGGAACATGGAGCAGAGGCCACAAAGCACTTGAGCCTCACTGCAGAGCCCTGCTCAGCTGGAAATCAAGTGTGCAGAGCAGTCCTGCCCTGAAGTTGTGGCTCCAGAGACAGGAATGTCACCTGTGCTGCTGCTGCTGCAGCCATCAGGGGGATGGTCAGGCACCTGTGGCTCTGGGGCACAGGCTCAGCAGTGGGCTGGGAAGGGAAATGGGTGCAACTTGGTGTTGTGTGTTGGGATTGTGCCCCTCTGCCCATAGAGCTGATCACTCCTGCCTGGTCCCCCTGCCCTCCAGCATGCGTAGGCACCTCTGCTGTGCTGCAGGACACCTTGGGACTTGGCTGCCTGCCTCTGCCTTTCCCTGCAGAGCAGTGGGAAGCACCTCTGGCTGCTTCTGGGGGGACAGTGTGCCCCCCATCCCATGCTCTGTTCCTCCAGGCCCCGCAGGCAGCCAGGCCCCTGGGTCCCCCAGCTGCCGTGTGCTCCATGTGAGGCCGGGGCAGCTCCCGGGGAGCCATGCCCACAGCTGTTCTACATCCCCTCGGCTTTGGTTTCTGTGACTGTCCAAATTATCTGTTACAATAAACCGACATCTCCAATCCTATGGGGCACTGTCATCTGTGTGTTAGGGACACACATGCTGCATTCAGGAGAACCCACAGCCATGAGGCCTCCTGTGGGAAGGATGGGGCTGGAAGAGCAACGTATCCTACAGGAAAAAACAGGAGTGAGGGGAGGGGAATGCTGAAGCAGCAGCACATCCCAGAGAACTCAGCCAGGCCCCGTTTTGGAATCATGAGTTCCCAACTTGTTTTCACAGGGAGTTTCATCTCCCATGCCCTGTTTGCATCACCACAGCTCCAAGGCAGCTTCCCTACACTGCTTACTGTTGTGGCTTCTCAATGCTCTGCAATCCAGTATCAGTCACAGTCTTCCTGCAATTCACCTTATTGCTCACCAGTTGCAATTGAACAGGTCACACATCCTCCCCAGACTGCTCCCCCGCTGCTTATGGACTCTGTCCTGCCAAGACTGAGCCATAAACAGCTGTTCCTTCCTAGCTGGGCAGCTCATTTCTCAAATGCTGGTGCACTGCCTGACTAAAGCCACACCTCAGTGCAGACCACGACCCAGAGGACATGATTTTAACAGGCTGTGACAGCACCAAGCAGGGACAAGAGTTCTCACAGGGGTAATGAGCCTTAGTGACACAACGTTGGTGTTGTAGGATAAGCCCTCAAGGAATCAAAAAAAAAGCCACGGCCCAAATTTCAGGATAATCACAGAGTGTATTCACCCCATTTCCAGTGCTCTGGACTACAGAGCCTCTCCAGCAGTGGCTCCACCAAGACATCACGACAGTTCCTCAGAAAACTCCATCCACAGCCAGGATCCATCCCGGGGTGGTGGGTGCTGGCCAGCGGCTGCAGCTCCTCTCCTGCCCGAGGTCACTGTCTGGATTTCAGGGCCGTGACTGCCATGCCCCCCAGCAGGGCCGCGAAGGTGAAGCCCTGGGCCAGGATACGCGCCCGCATCATCAGCTGTGACCGGCGGGTGTTGCCCCTCTTGAAGCAGATCAGGCCGTAGGTCAGGACGCCGACGGTGCACAGGCAGCCTGGGGAAAGGACGAGGCTGTGAGCGAGGAGCAGCTCTCCCCGCGCTTCCACAGTACCCCCACACCCGGGCCGGCTCCACAGCACTCCCACACCCGGGCTGTGCTCGCCCGGGGAGCGGCCGGGCCGGGGCTCATGAGGGACCGACTCCTCACCGGCCCGCACCGCCCCTCACTCAGCACCGTCACCCCCCGTCCCGCTCTCACCGAGGGGCACGAGGGGGTTCTCGCGGGTCTTGCGCAGGAACTTGTCCCCAAATCCCTCCTCCCTGAACGCGGGCAGCATGGGGCGATCCAGCGGCGGTGGCGGCCCGGCCGCCATGGCCAAGGTGACAGCCGCGGCCCCTCCCGGCTGCCGTACCCCCGCCCCGGTGCAGTGCATGCCGGGGGTTGTAGTCCGCTGTAGAACACACCCCGCGTGGCTCTGCGGTCGTGGGACTACATTTCCCGTGACGCCCCGCGGCGCGGCCGGCAGCCCAGGTGGCCCTGCCGCACGGGTACTCACGGGGGCCCGCCATGCCGAAGGCGAAGGGGAAGAGCCGGCGGCACAAATACTCCTACAACCTCAACCGCAAGCGCCTCTACCGCAGCGCCCGCCGCCGCGCCGCGCCTCGCATCGCCTGGTGAGGGCCGGGGGCATGGGCACGGGCCGAGGGCGGGCGGGAGCGGGCGCCTCGTGGGGAACCTGCAGCGCGTGTTGGTGGGGAGGGGGAGCACAGCCGTGATGTCCCTTGTCCCCACACAGCTCGCACATCCGCCATGCCTGGGACCCGAGCAAGTCGGTGGCGCAGAACCTGGCCGAGATGGGCCTGTCCGAGGACCCCAATAAGGCCCTCCCCATACCGAAGAAGCTGGTAAATGTGGCCGGGGGAGCTCGGCGGAGGCTGCACCTCTGTGGGAGCTGTGGGGGGTTGGGGAAAGCAGCGTGGAGAGCAGCCATGCCCAGAGCATGGGGCAAGTGGCTCTGGATCCGTCTCCAGCAGGTGGACGCTGTTTCTTATGTTGATCTACGTACTTTTCTCACCAAAATCCTAGCGTGGGAACGAGCTATAGCACCACAGAGACATAATGGACTTTAGAACAAATATAAATAACGTCATCTCCTGGGATTTGACAGACAGGTGGGGTTGAGAACGGTGCAGCCAAGTTGCTCCTGATAACAAAGAAGGGCTCTTTGTGCACAGCAGTGCCACCATGGCCCATCAGCATCTGTGAGCAGCCAGGTGGAAGGTGGCCCCACAAAGGTTCCACTCAAGGGAAAAAATCAGAGTGATCTTGTTTGCCGCTTATCTCCTTTCAGACAGCGTTGCTGAGAAGACAGGCTGGCCTACAAGCCTCTTTAATGTCACAAATAAGGCTCTGCTTAAGCCAGCTGAGATTTCCTGGCCCTTGCAGCCATGTAGAAGCAGTCAGGAGTTTTGGGAGCAATGTGTGCGGACACAGCCCTCTTCCAAATAGACTTTTCTTGAGTGTTCTTTTCTCTCATGTAACACAGGGGGTGGAAGCGGAAAGCAATGGACAACAGTCACGAAAGAAAATAGTGCGGAAGCCGTACGTGGTGAACGGTCAGTGCTGCATGTGGGGTTCTCCCAAGGCCCTGGGGAGTATTTTGTCTCTCTGTGCTGTGCCGGGGGCAGGGAAGGGTGTTACTTCTTGTCCAGGCTCATGGGCTTGTGGAAGCCCTGGGCAGCAGTTGGCTGGGGGTTCTCAACCAGGCCAGAGCAGGACAGCAGCTCTGCCATTCCCCTGGATCTGTCTCATGAATTTCTTTTACCTTTTCAAGGAGTAATGTCCATAAACTAAAACACAACAAGCTCCACTTCAACACAAGGAAAAAACTTCTCACCGTTCAGCGTGACAGAGCACTGGAACAGCTGCCCAGGGAGGGTGTGGAGTCTCCCTCTCTAGAGACATTCCAAACCCACCTGGACGCATTCCTGTGTCACCTGCTCCAGGTGACCCTGCCGTAGCAGGGGGGTTGGAATGGGTGATCTCCAGAGGTCCCTTCCAACCCTAATGATTTTGTGATTCTCTCCTGGGCTGCCTTTCCCCAAGAGGGCTCTTGTCACTGTGAAACATACTGGTGTGTGGCCCCAGGGTGACAAGAAGCCATAGTTCAGTATCCAGCATGTTTTAGTGGTGGGCTGGGCAGCTCTGAGCAGTCACACTCTACAGCCTGGGCAGAAAGGGCCCTCTCCTCATGGTGTGAGCTGGAGAGGAGCTGGAGCACAGGCCTGGATGCCTGCAGCCCATGCAGAGGGCTCTTGTGTTGTCCGTTTTCCTGCACCATCATGCTGGGAAGTGTCCCTGCATGTGTGAGCAGCCAAACTGTGCAGCAGGAGTCTGCAGCACGGGCAGGCTTGACCCTGGGGAGAGGCTGGGAACCTCTGAGGAGGTGTTGCTTCCTTCCCCTATTCATGCTGTCTCTTTCCTCTGCCTAGAGATGGAATATGAGGCCAGCCTCCCTGAGAAGAAGTCAAACACGCTGTCACGGGACCTCATTGACTACGTGCAGTACATGATACAGAACCACGGGGAAAACTACAAGGTATGGCCTGGCTGGCTGTCCCAGGGCAAGGAGAACCCAGAGAGTCCTTGCTCCTGGACCTTCTGCAGGATGGGAATTGCTAATCCTCTCTGTCCCGGATCCTGTTTTGCAGTCAGCTGATTGTTAAGGGAAAACAATGCTTTGAACCATGGCCAGGTCCCTGTGAGTCAGGGAGTGATTGCCCCGGCGTGGGAGGGATGGGTTGGTGTTTGCTCTTGGGGCTGCTCCTCTGACTTACCCTCTTCTTTGTCACAGGAAATGGCTCGAGATGAGAAGAACTACTACCAGGATACTCCCAAGCAGATTAAGAGAAAGATCAATGTGTACAAGAATTTCTATCCCGAGGAGTACAAGGAATTCATTGCATCACTCAAGCCGGAAAAGATGGATGTGCAGTGACTGCCCTTTTTCCTCAGGTTTACCTGCAAGTGCAGGCTTGACATGACCATTTTCTGAACTGAAAAAAGCCTCTGGAGATGGAGAAAGGACCCTCATTAGACGGAGATGGTTTTAACCAGCCATGAAAGGCTCTTTGGCATTGGCACTGACTGTGCTGTGCTTCTCACTTTCTGTGTGGCAGCTGGCACTTCTTTTGCTTTGTTGAAATAAAATATTCTTTCAAGCTGGTGTGAATGTCTTGCTCTGGGCTCTTGCTTGGTGCAGCCCTGCTTTAGAGAGCTCCTGGTGCCAACCCGTGTGACCGGTCACCCTCCGTGGTGACAGGGCTGGGGCCCACGGGGTGTGGGCAGCACTCAGACCTTGGCTGATTGCCCTGTAGGCAGCAGAGTGGGGCCATGTGCTGCTTCCTTCCCCTGCTGGTGACCTTCCTGCCTGCAGTGTGGGAGACCAGACTGGGGTCCTTTCCCTGCTGAGGAGCTGGAGGGCAGTGCAGAGCTTTTATGACAAAAGGAAGGAGCAGCTGTGTGAAGGGTTTTGCAGCAGGGACAGGCTGATGTGTACTCCTGCTCCTCGATGGGCTCCAAGCTTCCACCATTGGTTTTCCAGGACCCAGTGCCCTATGGGCTGATTCAGCAGAGTCCTGCCGGCAGGCAGGGCTTCCTGCTATCCCTGAGTGTGGCTCCATCCCCTTCTCCCTGGGGCAGTGGAGCATCAGGCAGAGCAGGCAAATACCTGTGGAGTGCAGCTCCCACAGAACAGCCCATCTTCACCCCTGTGCTGGGCTGTTCGACACCTGCCTTCGTCTCTCCTAAACAGGGCTTTAAATACAGGGTTGGGAAAGTTGAGAGCTGTGCTCAGCCCTTGGAATGGACAGGCTGAGCTGGTTATTCCCACTGCGTGCTGTACTGGCAGGGCTGTACCAGCAGTAACTGATTTCCCAGGAAGGAGAGCCCACCTCCTGAGTGGGTACTGTTGGTGCCAGTGAGCAAGAGGACTGCCCTGCTTGTTCATTTAATATCCTGCAGGGCTGCTGTGAAGGTGTGGGGCCCTGGGGAGCTCACCAGAAGGTAAGAGCCATGCTTGTACCTCTATCCTAAGGGAGATTCCATCCGTGAACTGTGGGAGATGGCTGCCCTCTCCTCATGCCTGGCAGCAGAGCCTGCTGCTCATGCTCCCCAAGGGCAGCTTCCCACAGCTCACCCTCAGACTTCGTGGGGTGCAGTGAACACCCCAGGGCCAGCAGCAAGTCTGAGCTCCAGGAGCTCCCTGGTCACTCCATCCTCTTCGTCGCAGACCCCAAAGAAGAGCTCTGCTGGGGGTGGGAGCCTGTCTGCCCCCACTGTGTGGGCTTCAGGGCTGGGGGAGCAGGGTTGCCAGCAGGTTCTTCACGCAGAGTGGCAGGTGCTGGAGGCTCCTCACCTTAGTGGCAGGGCTCAGGTGACGGTGCCCAGGTCGCGCTGGTGGGCAGGAGGAAGAGCTGACTGCTCGCTGGCAGCTCTGCCGTGCTCAGGGCTTCGCTCTTATCCTGCGAGGGAGAGACGCGGCTGCTCGGGATGGGAGCAGCGCTGTCAGCTGGCAGGACCCGTGTCCTGCCTGTGTGATCCCGGCAGGAATTGTGCCCGGAATCCCTTTGGCACAAGCCCGCGGGACCCGTCTCCGCCCCCTCCATCAGAACTACATCTCCCAGCGCACCCCGCGCGCCGCAGCCAGATCTCGCGAGATCTGCGCGCCTATAAGAGTGCCTCCGTAGCTCCCCATCCCTCGCGCCGGTCGCTGCTGCCGGAGGCTCCGCCATGGCCGGGCCGGTCTCGGTCCCGCCGCGCTCCGCCGCCCCTCGCTGACCGCGCCGCCCGCGCCATGAGCTCTGCGCAGCCCGACGCTCCCGGTAAGGCCCCCCCGCGCTCCCCGCCGGCCCTAGTGGGCCGCGCTGGCGGTCGCTGAGCGCTGCGCTCTCTCCGCAGCGCTGGAGCCGGGCGGCGGGGCCCGCCGGGGCAGAATGTCGCTGCCCCTCGGCGTCCGGCGCCGCGCCTTCAGCTACGACGATGCCCTGGAGGACCCGGCGCCCATGACGCCCCCCCCCGCCGACCTATGCGCCGGCGTCCTGTGGAAACAGCCGGTCATCCCCGAGCGCAAGTACCAGGAGCTGTCGAAGGTACGGGCTGGGCCTTGCCCTGGCTCGAGCATGACCCCCGGGTGTCCCCGCAGCCCTGCACTCCTCTGGGTATCGCCCTCCTGTCATCCTCTCCTGACACCACCCCCTCCTGGTCCTTCTCCTGCCCCCCGCAGCAGGACCCTCGGGAGGGGCTGGGGACAGAGCCCGGCATTCCTGCCCGGCATTCCCTGCTGTGGGAAGGGACAAGCACGTGCTGAGCGTCTCCTCGGTGTTTGTGAATAAAACCGCTTTA